CACTAATGCCTCAAGAACTGTGGGCACTACAGAAATGAACTAGCAGATAAAAACTGAGTAAAGTTTATGTACACAAGTTTCTGGAAAGAGGCTATTCTCTACCATCCTACAAAGGAGAAGGAAGGAAGGAAAGTGTAAACATATAGAAATGCAATTGCACATCAGAATGGATCACAAAGAGAGAAAGAGTGAGAGACCTGTATGTACAAGTACTGAAAAACTCCTATTCGGTCCTGAATAGATATGGCTTTTCTGCTTGACTAGCATGTAAAAAAAAGAAAGAAAGAACTTTGGCCCAAAGACTTTGGTTGAAATAGTCCATTCTTCTCCTTACTCTCCTCCTTTTCCTGACATTTGCTCTTCATGCTGACTGCCTTGACTATGCCTAAAAGTTAGTCCAAAACTCTACCAAGCTTTTATTCATGCCCATAAGAACTCTGGTCTCTAAGAAGCAAAAAAAAAAAAAAAAAAAAGGGTCAGACCAATAATGTTTCTGGTCATGGGATCAGATTAGTGCTTTGGTGATATTTGGATTTCTTGAGGTCCAAAAGCATATCGTTTCTGAATTATCAAGAGAAAACACAATTCAGTTGGTCCCATATGTGCTTGCCATTAGGTATATGCAGCCTTTCTGTGAGCTACACTTTCCAGTCACAGAACCAGTACAAAGGGTGGAGAGGAGCATCAAGAATCTGCCTCACATGGAGCAGCTTAAATATGCCCCAAAATATACAACTGAACTAAATATAATTTATACACAAATTATTACATTATCAGTAATCCAGTTCAACAGAAGACCAGGAATGACACAGAATCCATATTCACAACTATACTCCAGAAATTTAAAAGTAACACTGGAAAGACTGAGAACCATATTTTAGCTTATTCTGAATTTATTTCTGTGGCATACATTTAACCTGGTCCAGTTACAGACCCATAAGATCTTGGGTATGGGGAAATCAACAGTATACTAAGAAGATATTAAAATTATAAAGTATAATAGAACTTTGCACACCAGATCTGATTTTAGCATATCTAAAACATAAAGAAGACATTTTATTAAATAAACTGAAATGACTTCCGTTATCATCCATTAGTGTTATATTAGCCACAGGAGGGCTCCACTAACATTCCCTGTCCTGGATCAAAAGAAACATATAGGGGTTTACAAGAGAGAATGCACAACATTATTTAGCACAAGGTCTAAAAACCTTTAATAAATGTGTTTCATATTTAAATGAAAATCTACAACACAGAGATTTCCTAAAGGCATGTCTTAATGTACTTTGTCTTAAAAAATAGTAACTGAAGTAAATGAACATGTTCTGACAATTTTCCCTGTATTATTTTTTCTTTATATAGTGACAAAATTATATCTATGGGATATCAGTAATCACAGGTTAATATTGTTATGATGTTTTCCTACCTGTTTTTTTTTCTGAGAAAACAGAGCTGTATTCATTACAAACTTTGATTTGAAAAAAATAACTTTGACAAGAATATCTGTTTTTCTCCATGCTTATTCGTCTTTGTTCCTTAGGAGTTCACGATTTCCTGCTGCTTGTTCACCACCTGAAATCATAATCATCTGTTTGTGACATCACAATTAGTTACTGCGAAAATGATTAGTGTGTCACAAACAGATGATTATGATTTCAGATGGTGAACAAACAGCAGGAGCAGATGGACTCCTCAGGAACAAAGTTCCAGATTTCATGCAGAAAGTCCAGAGTAATAAATGAGTTAGGAAACAAAAACAAGTGTTTTGAAATAAAATGTTTTTCCATTTTAATTTTTTTTTTTTGCATGGCCATCTCAGATGTAGAAAGAATTTAATTGTGATGTATACAAATATAATGTTTTTTGGTGAACTACATGCTCTAGTTTTCTTTTGAAATTCAAAAGCTTTTCTAATTCAGGATTCACTCAAACCTTACTATTTTGAACATAATGATTCTTTTCTATGGTTCTTAAGATGTTACTAGGAGAAAATTACTTTTCTGAATAGGTTTACATAACATTAAATCACAGGCCCATTAAAAAGGTAGTAACCCTACAGAGTGATTAGAGCATAAGAAACACTGATCTTGGACTCATTTCAGTTACAAATTTCATAACATGCAAGAACACAACAAAGAACTAAAGATATAAGTGATCATCTTTCTTTGCGACAGCAGTCATACTGGCTCTGCACAGCAACCAGACTTGTGATCCAGACAGTCAAAACTTCAACATCATATCAACCCTTAGAACAATGACATAAGTGCATATCACTGGACTGATCAGATCCTGTCATGAGCAATGATAACTGCTTTAAGATCAGGGCCTAATCCAATGACCTCATTTTCCCACTTAATAAGGGCTCCCAGGGGTTTGATTATCTATTTATTCACCCATTCATCCTGCCTTTCTTTCAAGATGTTCAGAGAGCACATGTGGTTTTCTTCCATCAACGTAGAAAGCTTCAAGGGATACAAAAGCTAGGTCCTCTTACAGTAGACTATATACTATGAAGAAAATACTGTGTTCCCAAGCCCTTATTTACCTTATAATACTAATGCAGAACTGAGGAAAACATTCACCGAGGAAAACTGGCCAGAGATGGGATTAATTTTTGCTACCTTATATACTGTTTGTTCTCTTTAAACAAAATCATGTTTTGAAAAGTGCTTTGATATATAATGATAAACTGTAAAGGGAGATTATGTGAAGATATAAGAATTGCTATGCTGGATCAGATCAAAGGTCTACTTAGTCCAGTATTCTGTTTTTCACAGTGACTAACCAAATACCTCCAGACAACCTATAAGCAGGACACAGGAGGCCAAAGCCTCTCCCTGCTCTTGCCCCCAAAGCACCAGTAGTAAACGAGGCTTATGAACACGTAGCTGTGCCAAAGCTGTATATGAAAACACAAGCACTTTGAGATAAGAGTTTTTTCTTTTTCTTTTATGACATATATATGTGAAAAGGACATTTTGCGAAATGAAATGAAAGGGATTAAAGGACTACTAAAGGAAGACTGGAAGACAAAAGAAAAACATCCTTCACCAAAGTTTCCTAAGTAAAACTTAACAAACATGCAATAAGGTGATGAGTCTTCTGGATAAGTGACCACAGGAATACTGACTTTGTATATTCTTCAGCCTGTTTCCAACAATGGGTGGGCATTTCTATTGGAAGGACAGGCTGATTGCTATCAATTCACCATCTCACTACAGCCCTTAATTTGTCCCCAGTTATGTATAAAAACGTCTACTGATCCCCAAGAAAAAGTTGGGGAGGGGGCGTGGTTCAGGGAGCTACAGTACGTAGTGGAAGCAGGAGAGTGTTTTTCTGTATGCTTCACTTCATTCTGAGATCTTGCTGTTATATTACCTTAATGGAGGCAAATACATCTTTTTAAAGATATATTCTTTATGCACACTTGTTTGTGCCTTAGCTTACTCTGTGGGTGGGTGTTAACTATTAGCACTATCAGGTAAAGAGTATTAATGAGAAAGTACAGCATCCTAATGTGTTGGGGTGAAAGTCCTATGCCAAGAACAGCTATGCATATGGACTTGCCAGTCTTAAAATTGGGCCGGCATGCAATCCACAGCCACATAGTGGTTGAAAGTCATAATTCATGTTGAGGTCTCTCAAGGCCAACTTTATAGAGTTGCCTGATATCCTCTTTTGAGACGAAAGAGCAGGTACTTTATTATTATCTCTTACATTAAGGATCACAGCCAGTGTAGTATAGTGGTTAAAGTGCTGGTTTAGGTTCAAATCCTATCTGGCCATGAAGCTTGCTAGATACCCTTTGGTCAGTTCACTTTATATCAACCTATTTCTATTATTAATAACAAAGAGTTGGCTTATAACCATTACTGCCAGGGTAATTTTTAAGCTTGACGGTAATAGTTCACCTAATATAATTTTTTTAAATTGTACCTATATCACACAGGTTGCCAGTGGCTGTATTGTATGGAAGAACTGAACATTACAGAGTTCTTGTGTCCCTCGTGTATCTGCCCTGTTTCTTTCAGTGAGACATGCACTGTGAGTACTGTGCTTGGAACTTAATTTTCCACCATGGGTGGGTCCAATTCAGATTCCTATCATGGGGAGATGGGGCTTAAGCCTTTCCCCCTGAGCCATTTTCCACACCTGAAAAGACTCCAGTGATTCACTGCTTGCCCACTGATGAAACCTGCATGCACCATCAGGGAGAAATCTGCAGGAGGAAAACTTAAGCCCATTCTCTTCACCATGCTGCAGTACCAATTAGACCTGTGCATAACTAGGAATTAAGTTTAAATATTTTAATTTATAGTCTGTCTTTGTCACTGGGACTCTTCTATGTACAGAACTCCCAGTGTACATCTGATTAAGGATTGTCTTCAACTGCAGACAATTTTTTAAAGAAAATATATTCTTTATGAATTCTTGTTTGTGCCTTATCTTGGCTTACTCTCTGTGCATGCACAGACATGCATGGGTGTGTATTAAATATTAGTATTTATCAGTCATATTAATGAGATAGTCTAGGCTGTTGTTGTGTTGAACTGAAAGTCCCTTGTCAAGAATGGCTGTTACACAAAAGGACAGTTATTTATTTTAAACATTTACTTTATGGAACTCAAGGTGGCTTACAATGTTATCAAAACAATAACCATAAAACTACATAAAAATGACAATTTAAAATAACAATTTAAAACAGCAAATAAAAACTACATTAATCAAATGCTATCCTAAATAAAACCATCTTCAATATGCCAAAAGAAAGCCACTGACAAAAGAAAAACGGTCATTTGGCCCTTTTGGTTTATAGGAATGTGGTTCTCTATGAGTGCCACAGGGAGTATCACTCATGTACACTGATAAAACAAATGCATATTCAGAACTTAAATACATGCCCATTTGGTTCTGCACTGTTTGTAATAATCTAAAAATTCACAGTTTAGATTAACCAAATACTGAAGAGAAAAGAAAATTAATATAAAATTGGAACTTACTGTTACTTGTTGGTTCAGGGTATCCAACATTTTGGCCATTCCACCCCTTAATCTCTCTTGGCTGACAAAAATAAAACAAGAACATAAGAGGCAGCATGCTGTAAGACATACAAATGCTATGAAATTGCCTGAGGGGACTGGGATGGTCAACATCTGAAATAAATTCACTGGGTGGTCAAAGGAAATTCACATAGGAAGCTCTTCTATATTGTAACTACCACAATACCTAGTGGGGTATAAATCCAATCTCTTCTTCTTCTAGTGTTCAAGAACTAGTCTGACTATGCTTTAATACTAACTTTTGGCAAAATCCCATAAAAGAAGAAGAAGAAGAAGAGGAGATTGGATTTATACCCCGCCCTTCACTACCCAAAGGTGTCTCAGAGCGGCTTACAAACTCCTTTCCCTTCCCCTCCCCACAACAGACACCCTGTGAGGTGGGTGGGGCTGAGAGAGCTCTTGACAGAAACTGCTCTTTTTCAAGGACAGCTCTTATCATTTGGCTTGCCCAAGGTCATCCACCCAGATGCAAGTGGAGTAGTGGGGAATCAAACCCAGTTCTCCCAGATTAGAGTCCGCACACATTAAAATGCTGTAGTCCAGAACTGGTTGTTGGGAGGAGAACAGTTCTGTGCCCCACCGACATCTTTTTAAACAATTTTTCCAACAGCAGTTGGAAGTACTGAAAGAATTTCTTTTGGAACAAATAAAATGCTTCTGGAAATAAGGTTCAGTTCTGTTCATTCGTTTTTATGTAAGAGAATAGATAGCATTAGAATGCATCTATACTTATACTTTCAAGAACTATATTTCTTGTTTAAACATGACTGATTTTGTCCACAGTTAATATTCTATGTTTATGATAATAATTCAAAGTTATAGATATCAAATGTACTGCTACTCCAATTGTTTACTTATTTATTTATTATTAACCTTATTTATAGCCAGCCTTTCTCACTGAGACTTACAGCAAATTACGTTGTATAAAACACTGCAAATAAATTGCTTAAATGTAAAAGGTAAAGGTAAAGGTTCCCTTGCTCGAAAGCCAGTTGAATCCGACTCTAGGGTTGCAGTGCTCATCTCCGTTTCAAAGCCGAAGAGCCAGCGCTGTCCAAAGACATTTCCGTGGTCATGTGGCCGGCATGACTAAACACCAAGGCGCACGGAACGCTTAAATGTACAAGACTACAAATACAAGACTACAAATATTGTTTAAACATGACTAATTTTGTCCACAATTGTTTATTTATTTATAGCCCCCCTTTCTCACTGAGACTGAAGGCAAATTACAGGGTATACAACACTGGAAGCAAACATGACCTTATATAAGACTGTTTCTGTCCATAGGGTATACAACACTGGAAGCAAACAGCATGACCTTATATAAGACTGTTTCTGTCCAAATAATACACTCTCTTTTAATTTGTGTTTTCTATACTTCAAGGGCCATCTCCACTCATGTTTTTGCAGCCTGCCGGTTAAGATCCTGTTCTGAAGCCCTGCTCTCTGTGCACCCTCCTTCAGAGGCAAGGCAGGCAGCAGCCTGAGACAGGATTCTTTCAGTGGTGGCACTTCACCAGTGGAATGCCCTCTGTGAAATCCATCTTACTTTCTTTGAGGTGCTAGGCTAAAACATTTTTTTCAACATCCAGGCTTTTAACTAAAGGGTTTTATCTTTTAAATGTTTTATGGTCTGCTTCTAGACATTTAATCTGCATCATTTAGGGGTTCAGTGTTTATTTTATGCTGTTACAATCCTCTGGCTTATTTTAATGTTCCTGGCTTGATACTTAGAGTGTCATGTGTTAACGGCATTGACTTGCTTTTAATGGCTTTGGTTTTCATGGTTTTGTTTTATCATCTTGTAAATCGCCTTGAGCTAGGCTCTGGTGAACCAACATTTAATTTTTCAAAATAAATAAGTAAATATTTTCAACCTTTGCTTTTTCCTATGCTTCAAATAGCAAAAGCTAAGCTATATGTGTTAAAGTAGCACAGGGCGCAGCAATTTGCAGCTTCCTCTTTAGCACTGGGTATAATTGCAATTCGACTTTGTGGAGCTTGAAGGAATTTATTCTTTTACATTTTATAAGTATACCAAAGGGTACAATTTGATATGCTAGCCAAGTTATAAGTGATGGCTTGTATGTTGTTAAAGCAATAAAATATTTTAAATTAAACAAGAAATAAATACTGCAGAGATTTCATTTTTCCTTCACATTTCCTTTATTTCTCCAGGGAGAAAAAGGTTTCACCCCCAAGTTTCAAATATTTCCAGAAATTTTCATTCCTAATGTGATCCCTGATTATGCGTACTTGATTGTATCTGTTGTGGCATTCTGTTTTGGTTTCCAAAATATAAACACCTTGGATAAAGTTCTGGTGTTAGAATAACAGAAGATGTCCTATAGATGAAGATAAGGTGAAGGCTAGTTACATTTTCCCCAAAACTGATATGAAATTACAAGCTCTTTGACACAAAGTGTTAGTGACATTAACATTTCTGACTTTTAAGACCTACAGACCTGAAATGTTAAAAAAAAATGCTCACAGGGCATGAATAGATGTTCACAAACAGTGTAATAGCATTTTTAATAGAAAGCATTTACCTGCAATTTTATTCATTTGATCTGCTGAGAACAAAGTTTTGTTTGCTGTCACACTTGAGCAGCATAGCCCTTCCTGACCTGACCCTTTTGGAGACCTGTAAACAGGTGTTGACTATAGCCCCCAACAAACTGTGAGCAACTGCACTGGGACTTACTTGGATCCCAAGATGCTCAAGAGAAAGACAGGCATATAAATATTTTAAATAAATGTACTTGAAGTTCTGCAAAAAACAATGTGTTGAGATCACATGAAAAATATCCCTCCTCTACCAGGAACACATTTTACCTTTTCTGCCTGTTCTTGAAGCGGCAAAGATGCCTGGTAGCCAAGCTGTAATAACATGGCTTCAGCAGCATTTCTTTTTGCTATTTTCTTGTTGGGGCCTGTTCCAGTGGTAACATCATTGCCTACTTTGACCTAGTAAAACAGACCAAAAAATATGAGTAATTAAAACTTGGTCCTTTAACAGTGCAATTGTAATCAGAGTTACATCCTTCTAAGACCATGGACTGCAATGGATTTAAAAGGGAACTCTATTCAGGATTGCGCTGTTAAAAAAACCTCTTTTTTAGCCTTTTGCTATTGAGTCACAGAGAAAAGAAAATCTAAGGAATTTTCTTTTATGTTTTGCATCTAGAGCCATGTTTATGCTTTATCAGCTGCCCTGAGCCTGCTTTGGCAGGGAGTATAAATTGAATAAATAAATAAATAAATAAATAAATATCTATAACTGTATATAAAAGCCATTGATGTAAAGTGGTTAGATCAAGCAAGTTTAGTAGCCACAAAAAATTCAACAAATGTTCTTCAAGTAAATTTTATTCTGGGGGAAAAAAACCCTTTGAAAAATCTTTGAGTTCATGAAAAAACTTTGATACGCTAAACACCTTTCTTCTTTGTGCACATATCCGCAAATGTACAGCCTACTGATTTCCATTATCCTGAACCGCAATTTCTTTCTGTCTTTTTTCTAAAGAATATGCAACTTCCCTTAGAAAATCAGGAATGACAAAAAAATCAATTCAACCTGTTGAAGGTTGCTGCTTATTTTATCTCCTCACATATTCACTTTAAAAAGTAGCACCCCCACAAGATGTTACAGCAAGACTCTGCAAGCAGCAATGGGGTTTGCAAATTTCTTACAGATCTGAAGCCATTACGCTACTCTTTCATGAAGCCTGAGCATTGTAGCAGAGCGAGTGTTTCACCTGGACAAGGGATTCCTGAGTTTAAATGTACAAATTATCTCTCCGTGCAACATACTTAGTAAAGGAAACAAAATTAAGATTGTATTTCATTCGCGAAAATGTGTAGAACTTATTTTAATGTGATGGTTGTTTTCCTAAGTGCATACTGAATGAAAATGCAAGCAATTTTCTTCTTTATAAGAAAATCCAGGTACATTTTTTTTTAAAAAATAAATGTTATAACTTTACTTTTCTATTTTTTTAATTGAAGGAATATACCACATGGAATTGTATAAATGCAATGAAACACAACTCTCTAATCATGGTTTTTAAGAATGTGAACGAAATAAAATTAAGTGTGATACTATTCTCTTAACTGCTATTTCTCAGGCCTGTAAAAGTGGCTTAGGTATTATTGTAACATCTATCAAGGATTAAAGGTCTGACTACAAAGAAAAAGCTTTCTGAAATTAACTTTGGGAACAGAACACCAACTAATGTCATCAGAGGTTTTCTTCTGTTTATTTAACGGTCAGCATAAGTAATTGGATCCATTTCATCACATCTAAACTTGCTCTTTGTGTGACAGATAAAAATGAACATATTATCTCTGGATACTTTACTTCCACATTCAATTAAAACAAATGAAAACACAGTTTAAGAACTTTATACAAAAGACATTTTACTTTCTGAAGGCCACAATAAATCTACTGGGAATATGGAAAGACAAAATGATATGATTTGAGTGTGAAACTTGAAAATACAATAGTATGTTATATAAACTATGATGGCTACAAACAACTGACCTAAAAGCAATGAAGAGGTATAACCAAATATAATAGTTATTTGATTTCTGTTATTTTTTGCTTTTTGACTAGATGCCCCAAAGCAGCTCACATTTATAGAATGCAAGATTCAGTTTTTGAAAAGAAAAACAAATTTCTAATTTAAGCACTTTGAAGTCCTATTGCTTCTGGGAAAGAATTAACAGGGTTTATCTACGGCTGGATCGCGTCCTTTCAAAGGAACAGAATAATTTACAATAACCAATAATAATATTCTGTATCTATAAAATAGTTAGTACCCATCTTTTATTAAAATATTAAATTAGTTCGATGGAACAAAATTTCTTGCCAATCTGACCTGAAATATCAGTTTTTCCATCCATGCTACTTGCTAAACTCTAAAGTACTAGTTGCTGGACAATGTTTTGTTTGGTGCTGTTAGTAAAAAGCATATCAGTTTCTAAGAATACTATTTTGAAAAAATGTCTAATCCTTATAGAGCTATGCCAGTGTTTGACTGCACTGGATACATGTATAATTGTACTGATTTCAGTAAACACTTCTTTCCATGTTGTTTGTACATAAGAGTACTTCTAACACAAGTGACAAAATGCTCCCTCTTCCCTGAAACCTCTACAACAATTCGATTTCACTTATATAAATCCAACCTTTCTAACAATTTGGAGAAGATCATTTTATAGATCTAACAAAGCATTGTGCATTCTTTATGGATGAGTTTGGCACTGAGCTCTTTTACTGAAGTCAACGTAGTATGGCACAATTGTGTTTTCCATATATTACTCGAAAATCTGTCATGAATACTTATTCTTGCTTCTACATTCTTTTAAAAATCATCAAATGATATATTAGTGTTTTTGATCTGAAGGTTTGCAACTTTATATAGGAGATTCAGATTTGTAAGACACCTCCATGTTTGTTTTTTTAATTCAGGGTTGAACATATGGAGCTGCCTTATAGTGATGAAGACCACTAACCCAAGATAAGTTTTGTCTATTCTGACTGGTAATGGCTTTACAGGGTCAGAGGTACAGATCCTTTACATCACCAACTGCAACATCCTTTTAACTAGAGATGTCAGATAGTGAACTGGGCATTCTGCATGCAAAGCAGAAGGGACACACACATTCTTCACCTGAATATAATAAGTAAACATACCTGCATAACAAACTCCCGGCGACGAGGCATCCCTCTTTCTGAAAGAAGAAGGTATTCTGGCTCCTTCTCCCTTTTGGCTTGTTGGATCTGAGCTAGACGGCTAATGGGGTTCATTCCTTGACCATACTCTGGTCCAGTCTAAAGCAAATTAAAAATTAAAGTCAGGTTGTTTTTTCTGGCATCTATCATAAATTCTGTTGTGATGTTTATTGTTTTAGTAATTTTTTATCAGATATGTCATTAACTTTTTACATACATAGGTTGACTTCCTGAAGAGATTTCCACAATGTCTTCACATGAAAACATACAACCGAAGGAATAAAATTACTTATTTTATTTGCGGACTATCCTCTCAACTATATCTATTCAGGATGCAATACCATCTCACCTGTGAGGAACTTCCATGAATGAGGTTAATCTACAATTTCAAACCTATGCAAGGGCATCTTATGGGAAGAGGGACCTTGCTGTGAAAAACTTTACTATGGCCTGACTTGTTCCTTAAGACAAAATAGTAAAATGAGAAAAAGAGTGCTTTCTGTCTCCTAATGACAGGGATGGATGATCAGGATTATCACATGAATCATTTTGTGGCTAGTGAGAAAAAAAGAGCAAGGCAAGTGTAAATTTCAGACTCCCATGTACATTTCTCAGTGAGCAACTCCTCTATTGCAACAACATTTCCCACAAGTATAGTATGCTGGGAACCCAGAAAATAACACAACAAAGAAGATAACAGAGGGTACAAGAGAAAGGCATAAAGAGGATTAAAAAGAAACATAGGCACAGAAATGTGTGCCTGCACACAAACCTCACTGGGAGGGAAGAAAGAACAGAAACCTAAGCAGATCTGGGAATGGGCTTTGATTTCAAAAGTGGAAAAGAAACAAAACTGATATACAAGAACAAATTTTGAGTCCAGTGACACCTTTAAGGCCAACAAAAGTTTAGTCAAGGTATGAGCTTTCATGTGCATGCACACGTCCTCAGATACATTGAACAGAACTGTTAACTTACATTTCAATGTACCTGAGGAAGTGTGTGTGCACACGAAAGCTCATACCTTGAATAAACTTTTGCTGGTCTTAAAAGTGCCACTGCTTCAGACCAACACAGCTGCCTACCTGGATTAAACTGATGTACAAATTATTCACCCTCCCTAGCTTCACCCAGAAGTTCCAGTTCGTGATGCAGCTTTTGGGCAAAGCATCCCTTACATATTACTTGCTCAGGAGTGAACAAAATAGGGCTCCTTGGCTTTCCAACAGCACTATTTCATATCTACTTACCTGCCAGCATTAAGCTTAGGAATGCTTGCAAAAACAGGCTTTAACGCCATGGCCTGAAACATCTTCTGCTCCCACTTACCTCTCTTTCATTTTGTAACATAAAGACTGTTGAAAATATCAACGTGTAATAACTTAAAAGAAAACTGTTATAAGATGATGCATAGATGGTATATGACACCAAAAAAGATTGCAAACATGAATAGTAATATGTGAAACAAATGTTGGAAATATAAAAGGGCAGAGGGCTCATTTTATCATATGTGGTGGACTTGTGAAAAATCAAAAAAAGTGTTGGGCTGAGATACATGCAGAAATGGAAAAAATTGTAAAATGTAAATTTAAGAAAGAACCGGAAATACTACTTTTGGGACTTAAAATGGAAGAGTTTAATGTGGCAGAAAGGACATTGATGTGGTACATGATCACAACGGTCAGAATGACATATGCTCAATGTTGGAAACAGGATAAAGTGCCTGAAGTTGGGGACTGGATTAAGGAATTACTTTTTATGGTTGAAATGGACAAAATGACAAGGAAACTCAATAATTTGGAAGCAGAGGACTTTTTTGCAGACTGGAAAGATCTTAAAGACTATCTGGAAAAGAACTGGGATGTAAGGGACGGTTTATTTAGCTTTGACAATTATTGAAAGTTAACAGACATTAAAAAATACTAAAATAGGGAGGGATAAGTTACCTATAGATATGTGTAATGAAAAATAAAAGAGGGCGATGAAGAAGATCTAAGAACTGAGCAGGAGGTTGGAGCACTGTGGGAAGCCGTGCGGGGGGGAGGGAAGGGAGGAGGGTAGGATGTATTAGTACAAAAGTTTGTGATCTATATTTGACTATGTTTATTATAGCCTAATAAAATGGTTTTTTTGTAAAAAAAAGACTGTTGAAGAGTTCTTAAAAGCATTATAGGGATAGTGCTTTGTTTCTGGGTTTTGATTTTTGGACCAGCACAGCTGCAAACAACTTTTGTCTCCAGGTATCAGGGTCTGGAATGTCTCCTAGTCTGAACCATCTTATATTAACAACAAATCTACTGCATATCCTGACCTACATATCATATAGAACCACACAGAGTAGTTTCCAGTCAATTTCCTATGTCGACTTTCCACATTCAAGGGATCGTCATAAGTATCCTCCAGAATAAGTAGAGTTCTTGGAGTTATAAAACATTTTCAGTCCACCTATGTTCTGAATGATACAAATGGGATCAAACAGAGAATCTCCTTTTCAAAATGTTTAATCCACATAAATCCTCAGAATAATTCTGTAAAGTTGGAAAATTTTACTGCATCATTTGTGTAGATGGGAATGGAGAAAGGTCAGAGAGATTAGTTTACCTAACATTATACAATGAGACAAGATTGAAAGATAGATTGACTCCCTCCAGCCATCCTATATAAAACATCTCCATGACAAATTATGTGCAAGAAAAATGCTTACTTGGAGTAGATAGCTATCAAAATTGATACTGAGGAAGTGTGCAATGGGAGTAATTTATGCAGGAAGACTAAAGCACAAACTAATTTATCGGATGTCACATGTGCTTGGTTCATTTGCCACAACAGAAAGGAATCATTTATAAGTGAAGAATAAATGAAGCTTGCCTACAGAACTAAGATACAGCCACTGATTTCCAAACCAGATAAGCAGAGTAGTTAAACATAAAGCCAGTCACTCATTCAAAATTAGTTATAGGCCATTACACTACTAAATATTAAGCAACAGTAAAGGAAACACTACAATAAAATTGATTCACAAATGCAATTAGATATACAATTCAAAACAAAACTTAAGTGAAATTTAAGCTAAAACTTATTAAAGGTAAAGGTAAAGGTTCCCTTGCTCGAAAGGTAAAGGTTCCCTTGCTCGAAAGCCAGTCGAGCAAGTGTATTACCAGTGTATAAACCATAAGATTGAGATAAGGTATATATATAAAAATAGGAACTCTTTATACATAAAGTCTTATTCTGAATGGGCAAAATAATCTCTGTGTTAATATGCTACATTTGTTGGAAATTATATCCCACACAGATATACACAGTTCAGAAGAGTTGCAGTGCCCTCCTAAGCAGTTATACCCTTCTCAGTCTGAAGAAGCACTGTTTAGGATGGCTGTGTTACTCTTGTTAACTTCCATGGGATGAAACTGATTTACATCCAAGGACTTCAGACATAGCTGTTTTTGCTGACTCTGAAGGAACCTGCTTTCCATTGTACTGCTGCAAGTGACTTAACAAGGTGCAAGGAAACATCACTCATGGTCAAATAGCTTTGACTACTTTACTACATAGTTATTATTAGCCCCCTCCCCAGCCAACTCCAATAAAATAAGATGTGGGAGGGAAGGGACACTTACAAAGCACAATGCAGAGATGAGAGGCTAAAGAGATTGTTTTTATGATGCTAAGCCTTAAGTGGTAATGTTTCACAAATTATATAGGGGGTGGCATATGGCTGACTTCCACAACACCTGAGTTTGATCAGATTTAGTGCAGATAAGCCCAACTCTGCCCCTTCCCCCATTCACTCTTTCAGGAAGAATTTCAGACTAATACACAAATCAGGACCATCCCCTCTACAATGAAGCTCATGAATCCTACAAGCAGCAATAAATCCACTGCCACTAGGAATAAACACTCCATTTAAGAAACTTGAGCTTACAGGAATTTAGAAGGCTCAGGGAAAAAAGCTTCATTTAGAGCACCAGAAAGCACACTAATATCCTGTAACGGGGCGGGGGAAGGAGGAAACATGGAGGGTGGGTTACAATACAAGAAGCATTTATGGACATGGTAATTAAAAGGCAACTTGGACATGGCGCTCCATCATGTTCTTGAAAAATCACAGAGGAAAACCAGACAGCTTCTAAGTAGCAGTTAACATAGCAAAGAAAACAAAATTTGAAATTCAGAGAAATTTTAACAGGTCTTTGGGTTCATCACTGATGAATCAATTTTTAAGAAATTGGAATTGGCATCTGCAGACCCACTGAATTCACCTCTTTCAAACACTAAGGTCCTGACTTTCACGCCCATGTAAATAATAAATGTTTCTGGGTAAAGGAAGAAAGTTTGACAAATATCATCAACATACCTAAAAGCCTGTGTGGCTCTTGATCACTCTGGGCTCCTCAGCTTGTGTCTCTTCCACTGTTAGCATACAGAGAAGCACAACCCATTTTTCAACCCCCAAATGAGAATGCAGTGAATTACTGAGCTTGAATTACTAAATGAAGGAAGGATTTGCAGTTCCCAGATCCAGTGATGCTCTTCCACTATCATAAAACGGCAACAACTTGGTGACCTACAGGTCTTTTCCCCAGTCCTCCACATGACAAGAACAGCAGTCTTGCACTGACTGAAAATGAAGATCAAAATATAGCCTATCGTACATTTAGTGTGACACGCTTTTCCTGGGGGTTCGGGGGGAACCCACCCGCGGCCATGGGGCCTGGCTTCCCGGCGGATGAGGCAACGCTGAGAGTCAGAGGAGGTCTGCAAAAGGGAGCTGAGCCAGGACCTCAGATAGGCATGAGACGGGGTTAACAGCACCCCTTTTGTCCCTCTGCCCCATGCACAGGATACTGCTCTCCCTTTTCTCTCTAGCCGTCCTTAACAGTTTCGCTCCCTCGCATGTTGTTCCCCCCCAGTCCTTCTGAAATGCTCCTCTTTTATTTCCCCTCTCCCGTCCTGGCACCACCCCTCCTCCCCCCGCCTCCCCTCCTCCCAACTTGGCCCCCGCCCTCGTTTATAATCACGGACGCTCCCTGGGTTTCTGGGGTGTGGTTGCAGGTGAGCCGGCGGCCCGGGGGCCGCACCGCCGCCGTTTGGTCTCA